CTCAATTATCTATCTCTATATCTATCTATCTATGCAATACCATCTTTTTCGCTGACTTTATTTGCCGGGCTTATATCTAAAAAAGAGGGCGTCTGGAACAAACTAGAGTTGTCAGGAAAATTCATGATTCTTCGAGAAACTCCAGCGCGCATGCTCTCAGCGTTGCGTGACTTCCGCTGTCGTAATAATATTCTGTTATATTTGTGGTAAATTTGATCTAAGTCAGAGGTTTTCTTCTGTTCCCGATTTGTAAAAAATCCTCACATGATAAAAAATAATAATATTTTTTCGAAATATGCGTAGCTGAATTAAGGAAAATCCGTTATTAAAATCAAAACAACTTTTATGAAGTTTAAATTCGCAGGCCTGTGTTATTGCACTTATGGTGTACTCCTGCTACTTCCAACTACCACATGAACCTTCTTGATTATTACATCATCATCATCATGATTAGCAGCTCCCTCTAGAAGTTAGTTGTCATCCTTAGTATTGTACCAATGGTCTCAACTGGCGGAGCGTGATTTTTTTATTTTTTCAAGCAGTCATGGATACTGATATCTACAGTTTAGTACCTTATTCACTATGTCACACACATAGCCCAAATTAAATTTAATTGATGATTCATAAATAAAACCGCGGCAAGTAGCAATGCCCATGTCACCTGACTTATGAAGTAATGGGGAAATTTACGTACGTCACTATTATAAAGTTGGGCGTTACGATACGCAATACCTTTTAGTTTTACTAGGTATTAAGAGATTGTTCGAAGCTTATGCAACATATTGTATTGAATGGTATATATTTTTCAGGTTTCGGAAAACTAATTATACATTGACTTTTGCCAACGAGGCTTATCTTAACAGTATTTTCAAACATGAAGTGTGTATTAACCTTTCTGTTCGTATTTGTCGCTGTTAACCATATAAACATGGGTAAGATTCAGATTTTACTTTTTAGGTTCTTCTAAGTTCTAGCTTCTAGTTCCGGTGAAAGTTCTTCTAGTACTAAGTAGTATGATGGAAGTTAAAATACTGAAGAGATTAAAGTTTAGAACCAGATCCTACCGATCGTAGTTTTACTTTTAGTGTTAAATATATACGTTGTTGTTTTTTTGTGATAAAAATATATTTATCAAAACGCTGTAATTGTAAATGTAATACACATTACCAGGTATGGACTTTAGTTTAAATCTCACTAACTTGTTACTATTAGGATATCATTACCGCAACGTTAGCAGTTTTAATGAGTTATAATTAAAAATAAAATGGAAGGAAGAATTGTAACTGAGTGGAATAGGTGTAGCTTATCTTTCTATAAGTTATACTAACTTGTAGTTTTTAAGAATACAAAGTAAAATTGAGAAGCTGAAAACTAATATGTTTCTTGGGGAACAAAATTAATATATGTTTATGTGTAACTATAAAGTATTTACAAAATTTGTTAGTTTTTTTAATGTGTCGCGGATCCTTGGATAGGCTTAACCTATGATATTTCACTAACTTGGGATCTTATCAATGTCAATCACCTGCAAAGCATGTGACCCTTTTGTACTTCTTAATATTATTGTCAGTTTTGCTTAGAGAAAGACGTATGTTTGTTTTGATGCAAAATAATTTCTAGTTTGGTAACGATTACAAAATATTATGTACGTATATATTTTATCAAGTACAGAATATCTTATATGAAAGATATATGTATTTATGTCACAGAAAAATAATTTAAAGGGAAGTTGATACTTGGTTATATTGAGAAATGATGAATTTGTAAATAAATGTAATAAGTTGTACTATTAGTATTACATAGGAAGTGGAATATGTTTGTATTTGAGGGAACACATTTTTGCTATGTTAACCAAGACTATATTATTCCAAATGTCAATTTTCCCTGATAACTGTACAGAAGTCTATTCTCCATCCAAAGGGATGCTTTGTTACCAGGTCAAAAATAGAGCTGGGTAATTAGTGTTATTTGCTAATTGATTAGCACATTATACAACTCATACAAACAAATCGAAAAACAATATTCATTTCCTATTTTATTTTACTTTTTTTTAAAGTAATTTTCAAATTGCCTTTGATTTTATGTGATAGACCTCCTCTGAAAGTGGCCATTTATGCATTTGCAAAAAGCATTTTTTTGTAAAAAAAAAAATTCTTGCAAGTGCTGTTGATATTTCTTATGTGGTGGATAAATCGCTAATGTCAACTAAATACCGCTATGTAATCACCATTGTTTGTTTTTAAAATATGCAATAATTTCACATTGATCTTTTATAAATCAAATCAATTGATAATTAAATAATGAAGAAATTGTATTACCCTTACAATAAGGGATAATAATGTTTTTAATTAACAAATGTTACATGTACAATTACAAATAATTAAATATCCACTTAAATAATTTATGTATGTACATTGATATTCAATGAAGATTTGAGTCTTCAGAATATCTTGCAATTTCTACCATGCTCACTAAACAGTAAACTTATCCGATTTGATGACAATTTTATTTTATTTGATGAACATAATAAGAAAAACTCATATTTATAAATATTGAAACACAATAAAACCATAGTATATTTATAAATGTTGAAACACAATAAAACCATAGTATATTTATATATGTTGAAACACAATAAAACCATAGTATATTTATATATGTTGAAACACAATAAAACCATAGTATATTTATATATGTTGAAACACAATAAAACCATAGTATATTTATATATGTTGAAACACAATAAAACCATAGTATATTTATATATGTTGAAACACAATAAAACCATAGTATATTTATATATGTTGAAACACAATAAAACCATAGTATATTTATTAAAAAATGAAAACCATATTTAAACAAAAAATCAAACATCAACAAATTACCTTTATTAAGCCTTAACCTGTTACCTGCCATGGCCATTTTGTATTATTGTGAGGGCAAAATCACATTTCTGCATTGAAAAAATTATAGAGAACTTATCTTTTATCGGATTTCAGATTTTATTTTTGTAAATAGTAGCATAAGATTCAGTTATTTGTATTAAATTGTATTACTTAATGAAGTTTGAAGAGAAATTGGATAAAAAAAATCTAAAAATACATTTGAGACTCTAAATAATTGCCTTCTAAGAAAAAAATTTTGTAGAAAATTTTAAAAAAAATTTTTTCCTTACACTTTAGCACTGGTCCTACCATCTATGATTGGTATTTAAACTTTTTTCTAGTCTGTTTTCTCATCTGGGCATGATAAACTTCAGTTGTAAAACTTTTAGCCAATCCT